TGTGTGAAATGCATGTCAAACTCTCTAAACACCTTCTTATGTTCAGTTTCAAGCAACCTTCACCAGCATCTTTTGGACTGGTATGTTTGCAAGGCATCTGATGGTGATGTCAGGGGTATTGGGTATTGCACCTGCCTACCTGTTCAGCCAGGAGGAGCACTGGGAAAGACTTCAAATGATGCTGAAGTCCCAGGGAATAACAGTAAGTTGAAAATATTCAACCAGGGTAACAGGAGAAATAAGACCATTCAAGGGAGGGTTAAAACATCAAGCCACAGTGAGGGGTCTGTGGATGCTGGGGGTAATGAAGAACAACGACCTGCTTTATTCCTGCCAGTTTCTTTCTTGCCCTATCCTTGCAACAAAAAGAAGAGGAGAAGGGTCTCATAAGAAGGAAAATGCTTTTGTGCAAAACAGCCTGTAGACCTGTTCTTTCCTGAGGCTGCTGAGTGAAATCATTTAGCAGGGTTATAAAAGGGCTGGCTAGAATGTGGGTGTTAATAGCATTTGCAGCTATGTAAGCAGCAGTAACAACAGCAGAGTAATCAAATCTCATCTTTCAGAGGGGAAGTTGATCACCTGAGTGGGTCTGGGATTTCCTCTTGCACCATTGCCAGGTATCTTCACAGGCTAATTGAAATGTCGAGTGCAGTCTGGGGCCGGGGGCATGGCAGTGGCTGCATGGATCTAATCTCTGAACACACACAGCAGCTTGGTCACACTCCTGCCCTGAGGCTTGATAGCTCCCTGGGTGCTGCTGGCTCTTATCTCTGCCTTTCTGCTTTTTTTAAATTTTTTTTTTCCTCTTGAACTGGGCTTCAAGTGCATTGCTCTGGCAGAGTCATAACTGTTGGGTGAGATTTCTTCATCTCAACTTTTAGCTTCCTTTGCTGACTTTTAACCCAAGAGCAGTAAAAAGCATGGCTGAGGAGAGGCAGACATGGTGCCCGTGCCTGACCCTAGGCAAGAACCATCTCCATCTTATTTTCTCTTGGTGCAGCTTTTCTGTCCCTTAATGGTTGACTCACTGGAGCTGTGGGCAACTGGTTCCAGACTGGCTGCCTCTTGAAGGGGCTCTGCTGTAGGATGCAGCATCTGTTTTAGCCTCCTCTTCAGCTTCTTTGCCTTTTCTCTGTATTCAGCTACCTCTTATTTCCAGTAGGAAGCTCAGGTCCTGAGGGCTTCCCATCGTGAATCCAGAGGAGCAGCTGAGGGTTGGGCATTTGGATCCTCAGCAGGCATCTGCCAGCCAGCCTGATGGGAACAGGGACAAAAAGGACCACTTTTCTCTGAGGAAGAACCACCTTCATGGCTTTGGTTGATCCCTCTGAGGGACCATTGCGGTAAAAAAGTAGAAAGAAAAGTGGACCTCTGGTTGTAGAGAGGAGATGCCAAGGAGGGGCGAGTATATGGCAGCAAGTCTGGCTGCTACTTCTGGCAAGCTGTGCCTGCATCAGTGCTGCCTTCCTTGGAGGTGTTTGAGGTGAAAAAATAGCCTTGGAAAACAACTGGTGTGCTTCAGGAGGTGATGGGAAACGCTTTGGGAAGTGAAGCCCAGAAGAGAGAAAGGCAAGGAGCTCTCTCATGCATCTGTGTGACAGGTTGATGGCAGCAATGCCTGGCCTAGCATCTTCCCCTGACTTTGGGACAGGCTCTTCCCAAGCCTTTGATGTCTGCCTTCATGGTTTTTCTGCCTTTTCACATCCTAGCCAGAACTGGTTTTGTAAAGGGACTGGAGCAAAACCATCAAAACTAATAGTTCTGGCCTTCCTTCTTGGTAACACTGAAGTGTTTGCTGAGGTATTTTAGTTCTTGACTCCTGTGCTTTTTTCCAGGCCTAGGCTTGTTGACTTTAAGTAGCCATCAAGAGAGTGCTTGAGCTAGTGAGCAGTGCTCAGGGAGAGCTTTTTAGGACAGGCTGAACTTGTGGTAGATCACCTCCCCCAGGTGCTTCTGAGATGGGGCAGTGGACGTGGCCTCAAGGCTCCCCTCTCCAGCTGTCACAGAGCAGTGGAGACCTGCAAGGCCATGCCTGGAATCCTGTGACATGCTGTGGAGAAAACCTTGGTGAGCAGTTGGCCTTGGGAGGTGTTCTGACTGCAGGAAGCTGTAGGAGATCGGAATTTTCTGTGGTTTCCTTCCTTTAGTGAGGAAAGCATGGGCAAAACTGGATTCTTCTTCAAGGGTGTCCCGTGGAGACCCCCAGGGAAAAGCCAATCTTTCAGAAGGAACTGGAATGCCAAGAACTTTCTCTAAGGGGAGTGTTGATCCTATTATATTCTGAAAATCATTTCCTACCACGCTGGAGAATTGGCTTGTCAAAGCACAAATTACCCAGCAAGGAAATCACTGCCTCCAGATTAATTCGTAGCTCCTTTGTCTGTTCTGTGCTTGGCTGATGTGTTAGGTAAATATTTGTGCAACACAGAGAATTGCCTCCCTTTCTTCTCTTTTCCAAGGGTCAAAGAAATGTCAGCCATTGGCACTTGTGTGCAGCCAGGCTTCTGTGTTTGCTGGGAGGCAGGCTGCATGCCAGCCATGGAGCAGCCAGAGTGGCTGGCTGTGGTGGCCAGCAGCCCTTCCCAGAAGAGGCAGGGTACTGAAGCTTTGTCCTGAGCTTATTCCACAGGGCAGTGAAGTGCTGAGTTGAACAATGAAACCAAATAACTTCTCCCCTCTGGACAAGAGAAAAAAACCTGCTGCTCTTGGTGTCTTCCCTCCGTGAATCTCCAGGGGTGAACTGACTTCTGTTGCCTATTTTTTTATTTCCTGATTTACTTGTTTCCTCTCTAGCCAGCTGGGCTTCAGTGATCCTTGTGGCTCCCTTGCAAGTCAGGATATTCTACAGTTCTATGGGTCTGTTCTCTGAGAAGACAAAAAAAAGCCTGCTGTTCTCTCCCACTGCTGTAATGAGCCCTCAAATCAGCAAGTGCTGAATTTCATGTGAACTTCAAAATCTGTTTCAGTCCCATTCCGAGTGTGTCCAAATGCAGGACACTCACAAACAGTAGTTCCTGCCTCAATGCTCTGAACAAGGGAGAAGCTCACCAGTTACACATAAAATTAAATAAAGACAAAAGAATTTCTCCTTTTTTCCCGTGACAGTCAGTCCATGAAGCACAGGCTGTGGTTAGCTGCATTAGTCAGTAGGTTACTCACCCAGTAACTGAAAAATCTTCTGCAGAAGATAAATATTGACCTTGGTATGTTTAGTCATAAATTTAAATGCATAGCTTTAAATCAGATCTGGGGGTGAGAAGATCTTGATCAGAAATTTGTGACTGTTCAGCATCTAACAGGCCTGAATGAAACCCACTCATCCAAGCCAACACTCACATCAGGAAAGCAGGACACCCTAGTTGGCTCTGACCCTTGCCTCTCGCTTGAATCTCTGACTATTTTCATGTTTTTCACATTTTTTGCACTTTTTTTTTGTTAATTGTCCCCTTTGATCAGCACACCACAGGAGGCAGCTTTCTGCTCACCTCTGCCAGACCCTGTGGGACCCAGGTTCAGGAGCAAGTGGGGACAGAGTTTTGCAAGCCTATTTGTAGTTAAAATAACTGGCCCAGAGCTTAGCACAGCCAGGGAGGGGGATCTGGCAGAGGGCTGTTTGTCAGTTCTAGATCCTGGGGTGGTTTGGGGTTTGCCTTGGCCTCTGTGTAGCCCAGAGATGTTTGGGGGATGACCTAAGCCATGTGCCTTGTAAAATCCCCCTCCAGAGCAAGCAGATGGAGCATGCTCCTGCTAAGGCACAGCGAGTCTCCCATGTGCAGATTGGGTGGGCAGGGTGCAGGTGGGTGGATTGACTGAAGATGGCTGTGCTGCCCATGGAACAGCAGCTGTTTCCCCAGCAGTTCTTCCCCCTCAGGGCATGTTCCTGCCACTTCTGGCTGCAGGAATAGTGTAGAAGGCTCAGATCTGAACACTCAGACTTGAAGCTGTCAGGATGGTTCCCTGTATATACCAAGGCAGCCAACTTCTTTGGGCTTCCTAGAGCTTTGGGGATGATTTCCAGTTGTAAAGAAAATGGGGAGAGAGCCTGGCTGCCCTCCCTGGTGTGTGGGTATTGAGCTGGTTTGCCACCAGCCTGGGAGAAGCCAAGGCTGATGGAGATTTTGGAACTCCACTGAGGCTGGAGCTGCTGTGCAATGTGGGCACAGCACTGAGCTGCTGGCAGGCTGGTCACTTACTGCTGAGTGCCAAAATGTTTGTTAGATCTGAAAACCACATAGTGTGAGACCCTGTGGCACTGCTGGGAGGTCAGAGCTCTGCTCACCAGCACTGTCTCATTGGTGAGAGGGGCAGCAGGCACCGGGTGCATCTGCTTGTCTTTGTTCCTCCTAAACCCAGGAGGTCACTGGAGTTTTGGAAGGGAATCAGAATTGATCCTGACTTCTGGATTGAGCAGAATGAGAGGGGAAGGGAGTTTCAAATGAAGTTGCTTTGAACCTGGAAGTGACTTCAGTGTTTTTGACTCCATCACTGCCAGTATTTTAGGCATGGCAGATGAGTATCCATAATTTCCTTCAAGAAGAGAAAACTGAAGCTTTTGTTGTGAAAATAGGTGCATATGAGAATCATATGCTTTTGATGGTTAAGCTAATTAGTAATCTAGTTATTCTCTTATTTTTCTTTGGCAGTGTGAATTGATAAAAATTTATATTCTTTAGTTTGACTACTGGGATTATCTGAGCAATCTAAAAAATGTTCCCGGACTTGTGGTGATTAATGAAATCTCTGATATCCATTTTAAAACTATGATGAATCTTTAAGTATTAATAAGAAGGAGGGAAGAGCTTTTAAGGAAGATACAGGCGATTTTTCTCTCTGTGCCAGTCTGCCAACTCCAAGTAACATAAAACAACTCTGCGTCCCTGCTGGACCATTCCAGACTGTTAGAGGTCTCTCAGCCTTTTAAGACCAGCTCATACTGGTGACTGCTGCACTTTCTTTTTTATAACCCTGTTCCCTGACACCTTTCTGTTTCCTCTGTACAGGATATGAAAGCTGGAGGGAGCTTGCTAGGGTTCTGTCAGACACCAGTGTGCCAGGTGGGGACACAAGCCTTCAGCTGGACTATCCACAGAAGCTGGGACACCAGGTGAGGACGCTTGGGCTGCCTTCTGAACATGCAGAAGGGCTGCCCTTCCTTTCTGATGCTGGCCCCAAGAGACAGCTCTCTCTTCTCACAGGAAAGAGAGCTTGCCACAGGGCAGAATCTGAGCTGAGTCACAGCAACGTGAGCCTGCAATGGCTCTGCTGTAGTCAATTAAGTTATTTTAGATCTACCAAGCCATGACAGTGGGATGAAGCTGGCTGGGCTTGTGGCACAGGAAGGCAAGATAGAAGCAGAAGTGAAAGGTCAGGAGGGAGTTCACTGCTCTCCAGTGAAGCACATCTCAGTGCTGTTGACTGAAGGCAGTGCTGGAGGAGCTATTGCTGGGACATTTTTGAAACATTGATGGGGGAAAAAAAACCCAGGGAATGACCTAAGTTTTAACTTTGTGCTAAAGTTAACTCTAGCAAGCAGTTATAAAATACTGGTATCCTTTTCCCTCAGTAGCTCACCATGTAAATGTGCTGTCAGAAAAGCCAGGGAGCATTTTCACCCTGTTGCATCCATGATATCTGGCTTGTCCTTTGGAAAGGGAGCTTGAAAACTCCCTTTATGTTCTAGTGACCAGGTTTGACCCTCTTATAGAGCTTGTATAGAACCACCTTGTACATGTCAGTGCCATGCCATTTTTCAGGTTATTTTCACTTTTCTCTACTTGTATTTCAGATCCAAGAGCTGCAAATAGGTGGGAGGAATAAATCAAATGACGCAGCTGTTGACAGACCTGTCCCATGGATGCCAGAGGTGGGTGCCTTTCTCCATCATTTTGCGTGAGGGGGGTTATGGCTACAGACCTGTACAGCAGAAATGAAAGGCAGGGAGGTATGGCTGGAAATTAATTAACTTTACTGGAGGTCCACTCCCTGCTTAATGACTCTTACGACTTGAGTAATCATCCGGAAAGACTGGAGTGTCAGGATTCCAGATAATTTGGTGTCTCCACGACTCCTCAAGGCTCCAAGCACCCACCCACAATTCCAGGCAGCCCTCTACCTTCCTGAAAAGTGAAGTTTGTTCAGGGCTGGAGTGTGTAGGGCCAATCATTCAACAAGCAAATACATGACTGTGGCACACAGAAGTGTCACACTGCTCTTGCTCTGGCTTTTGCCATCCAACCCCTGCGTGTCATAGGTGGAGATTTCTCCACTTCAGTGGCACTTCCATGAACAGAGACCCTCTCTGGTGACCCTTGCAGGCTGGGGTAAACACTGCCTTTGTTTCCTTCATGCCTCAATTATTCTTTCCTCCCCTGTTCCCTTATCTCATCATTCCTCTTCAGATAAGGGAGCAATGCAACCTGCTTCTAATGAGAGGGACACCAGCCAGGGGGCATTTAGTTAATGGAGCCAGCTCACTAAATTCCTCAAGGTGATTAGAGACCTGCACAAATTAAGGAGCCTGTGTGACTCCCCAGGGGAGGGAGCAGGCTTATGGCTCTGCACTCAGATCTCCAGATCTCACTGGTAATGGAGGGAGAGTGTATCCCTCCAGCCACAGCAAGGAGCAGCTCAGGTCCCTGCAGCCTCGTTTTTCCTGGCAGCAGCCAGCATCAGCCACCTTGCAGTGCCCAGAACCAGATCAGGCCATTGATCTGTTCTGTGTCAGAGCTTGGGCTCTGGAGTGCTGGGCCCAGCTGGAGCCTGGGGTCTTCTCCAGCTGCAGGGCTTTGCAGGCAGAGCTGTCTCCCAGATGAGCAGTTGATGGCCAAGAGTCAGCAGGATGTCTGGGACAAGGCTGCTGCTGTGCCCGGGGATGACTCTGAGCATTTGCTACTCCCCTCTCCCACAGCACAGGGTAATACAGGCCCTGTGTGGCATCTCCCAGCTTCCCTGAGGCTTTGCCCTGTGTCTCTGATCCCCTCCCTAGAGATTTCCCAAAGCACATGAATCTGGAGAGTGGCCAGCTGTGGTGTGCAGTGAGCCTTTACCAGGCCAGAGGTGCAGCTGGTGAGTTGCACGTTTTGGCCTGGACACTTTTCTCTCTGCCTGTATAAGGCAAAATTTCCAGCCCTTGCTGCAGCACTGTGTGTACCCAGAGGGTCAGCAGAGTCCCCCTGACTGCAAACAAGGCCAGTGGTTCACCAGTACCAGCTGCAGGAGGTGGAGAGGGATCCATGGACACAGCTCTGTACAGAGCTGCTTGCTGTCCTCCTAACCACCGACTGAAATTTCTCCCAGCCTGGGGATTAAGTTTTTCTGTGACTCTGCCCAAATTAATTACCCTGGGTCTATAATCCCATTGTGCCCTTCCCACAGCATCTCTAATAACTTAATTGCAGCCTGATTCCTGGGGCAAGGGACACCAAGTTGCTTCACACAGGTGAGGGAGTAGGGCTTTGTTTGAATGGAGAGGCATATTCCTGAAAAACATAAATAATTAACAGGGTTGCAGAGTGAGCTGGCAGCCAGCATTGCCAAAAAAGGACAGGTTTCAGTTTTCCTCTCTCAGTTTCAGGATATGAGATAGGCAGCTTAAATCTTCAGCCTTGGATAATGTGGTAGGAAAGTGTGCTCATTGGGAATCCCAAATTGAAGTTTTGCTCTGGCATCTGGGGGAAAGGAGGGTTCACCCTCGCTCCTGGTTCCTCAAGATGCCTGTGCACATGATGGTTGTTATCCTTACTGTCACTTCCAGGCACCAGAGCAAAGTCTTCCAGCTCCCAGCATCACACACTGCCTGCTCAGGCTGGAGAGATGAGGGGTGTTTTGATTCATTAATTCAGAAACTTGCCTGGCTACCATCAGGGCAGACCTGTGCTGCAGGGTGTGAGTGTCACCATTGGACACTGCTGTAGGTGTGGGGAGGACTGTCAGAAAAGTGACTGAAAGGTTACCCAGGCTGTCCTCATTTCCCTCTGCAACAGCATCTGCTCAGCTCGGAGAGGAGAAAGGTCTGGGCAGTGCTGGGGTGCATTTAAAATGTCCTTTCCTCCTTCATGTCTGCACAGCCTCAGGACTTCTCTCTGCAGGGAGGTGTGAGGGATGCCCAGGAGCACAGCCCCTTGCAGGCAGCACCTGTACAGTTGCACAGGTGCTGCACAAAACCAAAGGATTTGGTAGCAGGACAGCACTCCATTGTGCTGGAGTGTTGTCCTGCTACCAAACCTGCCCAAAGAGGAAGCATCCTTTCCTGAGGGGACTGGAATACAAAAGCTATTGCTGCTCACTGTGTCTCTGCTGATGTCCCTTCCTTGTCCACTCGTGCCCATCCAGACAGGGGGCTGTCTTGCTGACTTGTCTTGATGGATTCCCACAAGTGCCCAGCACAGCAGAGCGTGCAGCCAAGCCCAGCTGCTGGCTGCTGAATGTCACCCAGCCAGGGGAGCTGGGCCAGGCAGGAGGAGGGGCTGCAGCCACTCTGAGGACACAGAAGAGTCTTACAAGCTCAGGAGTTTCTAGTTGGCAGCACAATGTCGCCTTTCTTCTGTGGCTCAGGCCCTCTCTGTGCCCTGTTTATCATTCCCTGGGCTGCGTGCAGCTATGCAGCTGATTTGCCTCTGTGATGCCAAATCTGCCCAGGACAAAATTAGGAAAGCTTCTCTTCTCCATCCTGCTCCAGTTACAGAGCAGGAGGTCGTGTCTCTGTTGCTGCAATTCTCTCAGCTTTGCTGCTTGCCCAGATCTTTCTTCCCTGGTCTCCTTGCTCAGCACTAGCCCCTGGGTGTGTGTGGTGCCACCCCCCAGATAGTTTTGACATTGACAGAGTTTGGGCTAGGAAGAGGTCTGGGTTGTCTATGTATGATCCTCCTCTATGGTCAGTTCTAGCAGGGGCTGATAATCTAACATTTCTCACTAGAAGGAAGCAGAAATACCAAAGACTTCTACTGCAGTGCTAGGGCTGCAGAGAGACATTTTTCCAGTGTGCTCAGAAGGGAGGGTCGGGTTGGGGCTCAGGCCAGCCATGATCCCACAGCCCTGGAGGGGCACAGCTGCATCAGTGCCAAGCAAGGGCCTGGCCCAGCTGTCCCCTCCCTGCCCTTGTAAGGGCTGGGACAGCACTGTCCCTGTGCTGTGTGCTCCAGGGCACAGTGTCACCGTGCTGTGTGCTCCAGGGCACAGTGTCACTGTGCTGTGTGCTCCAGGGCACAGTGTCACTGTGCTGTGTGCTCCAGGGCACACTGTCACTGTGCTGTGTGCTCCAGGGCACACACTGTCACTGTGCTGTGTGCTCCAGGGCACACTGTCACTGTCCCTGTGTGCTCCAGGGCACAGTGTCACTGTCCCTGTGTGCTCCAGGGCACAGTGTCACTGTCCTGTGTGCTCCTGGGCACAGTGTCACTGTGCTGTGTGCTCCGTGGCACAGTGTCCCTGTGCTGTGTGCTCCAGGGCACACACTGTCCCTGTGCTGTGTGCTCCGGGGCACAGTGTCACCGTGCTGTGTGTTCCAGGGCACAGTGTCACTGTGCTGTGCTCCAGGGCACACACTCTCCCTGTGCTGTGTTCTCCAGGGCACAGTGTCCCTGTGCTGTGTGCTCCTGGGCACACTGTCACTGTGCTGTGTGTGCTCCGGGGCACAGTGTCACCGTGCTGTGTGTTCCAGGGCACAGTGTCACTGTGCTGTGCTCCAGGGCACACACTCTCCCTGTGCTGTGTTCTCCAGGGCACAGTGTCCCTGTGCTGTGTGCTCCAGGGCACACACTGTCCCTGTGCTGTGTGCTCCGGGGCACAGTGTCACCGTGCTGTGTGTTCCAGGGCACAGTGTCACTGTGCTGTGCTCGTGTGCTCCAGGGCACACTGTCACTGCTGTGTGCTCCAGGGCACAGTGTCCCTGTGCCTGTTCTGGTGCCCTTGGTGTGTGACCTGTGCCTGTGCTGGGCCTGAGCTGGGATCATGCCCTGCTGCTATTTCAGCAGGGTGATAAGCAGCTGTGGAAAGGTGTTGGGACAGGGAGAAACCCCAAGGGCAGGAGAAGCCCTCTAAATGGGAAGGTCACAGAAAACCATCTCCTTTAATACTCATGGCTTCTATTCCTGGTTCTGGCCAAATCAGTGTATCCAGAATTTTCAAAGCAGATGTTTTTAAGGGGAGAAGGGGAACCTAACTTGTTGATTGCCAGGTCCTAAATTTCTGTTTGCGAAACAGGGCCGGGTAGGAAGTCAAACATAGGCCAAGCCGGGAAGTCAAATGCAGTAACCATGTTTAAAAATCATGTTCTAAAAATCTTATTTCAGAAAATCCATTGACTTTTCTGTGCACACGAATTAGGAATGGTGGTGATGTTGCTCTATAACTGCAATCTGCAAAAGCACCAAGCAGGGGATTTTTGCAGCATGTTGCATGTGAGGATACTCATATAGCAAACAGAAGAATTTCTAAGCTGCCTGTAATGGGCAGCTGTGAATTGAGTTGGAGGGATAGAGGTGATAGAGTTTCAAAACAGCTGCTATGCTGATGACTTGTGGGGGCCTAAAATTAAAGCCTAGCTCAGTTTTCAGTCCCAAAGCAGCACTTTGGGCAGCCAGCACTTATCTGTCAATAATATTCTTTTTTTCCCTTTAAGAGGAAACAGATACTAAGTTAAGCTGCTGTAGCTCAGGAGAAAATGTCTTGATTCAGAAAATATTTTAAAATCTCATGCAAGAAATACTTATTATTTAGCAGTTAATTATTTCTAGTAGCTGTGAGTGCTACTAGAAAAGCAAGGTGATCTCATTAACTCCTGCCAGAATCTCCTGTTTGGAGGCTTTGTAAAGACTTTGGAGGTAGGAGAGTTGGGCTAGAAATCTCAGGAATTACCTCTATAAGTATTGATGGTGTACCTAGTACAGTGCTCTCTGCCTTAGTTTTTATTAGGCTGCCCTCTCCCTAATACTGCCAAACTGCAGTGAAGTTTTGTATTGCAGTGGGACTGGTCCAGGTTTTACTCTGCAAACATTTGAGCAAGTATAGCCAGTCTTTTGGGATTTGCCTCGTAAATATCTGGTTTTGTATTTGGGCTGTCCCGTGTCAAAGCCAGCCCAGCTTCCTTGCAGTCCTGAGCTTGAGGATCATCCCCGTGGTCTGTCTTTGGCAGGGGTGAGCTGCAGTGCCAGCCTGTCCACAGTGTGGGAGTGTTGTGCTATGTTTCATAGAGCTCTGAGCCTGCACTCTGCTGTGTGCAAACAATTCTCAAAAAAAAACCCCAAAAAACCAAAAAACAAAAAAACTCAAAGAACCAGCATCATTTGTGGGTAGCAGCAGACTTCCATAGGACTCAGCTTCTGGTGGTGATTCTCTGTGGGAGCCCAGCCTGTTCCTCTCACTTCATGTTCCACAAGAAACAGCAGTTGTCATTATTTGATTTGGCTGAGAAAAGCAGTGTAAGACCCTTGGGTGTGAACCTGGATTTGGCCGAGGGGCACGGGACTGCAAGCAGTTAAATTCCAATTCAGTGTTTGTCACACTTGCAGTGATTTATTTGTATCTGAAGTTCCTGCAGTATCCCAGGTTTCTTTTGGCTGCCTCCATCACCCTGAGCCCTCTGTCTCCACTCTGTTTCTGTTCCTTGCTCTGAGGAATTCCATCGACTTGCTGATTTTCCTCTTGTCTGGTGGGCAGAATCCAGGCTGATGGATGTCAGCAGAGGAAGGAGGAGATGCTAGTGGGGGTCATCATGGGCTTGCAGACATCCATCAAGCCCTGGCTGTGGGGACACCAGTGAGAGAGGGCTGACCAGAGACCACTCCAGAGCAGCAGTGGTTGTGAATGTGCTTTGCCTGGCACACAGAAGTGGTTTTCACATGCATGGCTAAAGTCCACAGCTCGCAAGGAGCATTACTGCTGTGGAGCCAAATCTGCTTCACAGCCTTCCTTCAAGCCACAGTTTATTTCAAAACACACCCCCAACCCACCATCCTGGGAAAAATAACTCGGTGAGGAAGTTTCTCTGGCAGAAGTGCACAGAGAGGTTGGACCCTCCTCCACTGTGCTGCTTCAGGCCTGCTAGAGCCTCCCCAGCAAAAACTAAGAATTTGCTGCCATCTGTAGACATTTGGGTGCTGTTCAGGCTGTTTCCCCAGCCCTGCTCCCACAGCCCTTATATAGGCAAGACAGCCACAGCAAAACCTCCCCAGTCCCAAGGCAACCTATTCCTTTCTTCAGCCTTTTGCCATCTAAGGTAGCTTGTACTGTCTCCAGCTTATTTATTCTTCACTGCTGGATGCCAGTCCTGCAAGGAGAGTTTCAGTATCCAGCTCCACTGGTTGCAGTCAGAAAGCCTGGACTTTTCTGGGGAGCAGACAGCAATTCCCTTCTGAATGTCTCTGACAGAAATAAAGTCTGTCCTTTGAGGATGTGTTGCTGAAGTCCCACAGTGGCCAGGAAGCTTTTCCCAGCCCAGCTGTGCTCCAGGTCTCAGCTGGACAGTGGCAGCCTCTCCTGATGGGGCTGGCTGCGTAGCAGGGACCTGTACTCACACCGCACAGCCTCCTGTGCTGTCCAGGCTGAGCCCCCACTTCCCTCAGTGTTCCTGTGTCTCTGCAGACACATGGAGGCTGTGCTGCCCACTGAGCTGCCTGTGCTGGTGCTCCCTGCTCTGCCAGGTCTCCATCTCCCTGTCCCCACCAACTTCCATCAGTTTTACCTCTAGGACATGCTTTGAGAAGGTGATCTGCCATCTCCCCTGCCTAGGGTGTCCCCTTTTCCTCAGGTCAGGAAAATAGCCCTGAGATGGTGAAGGAATCCAAAACACCTTCTTGCAGAACATAAGATGTTACATCATGGGGAGCTGTTGCCACCCTGCAGTGTGTTCCACACCACAGCCTCAGAGCATAGCCCTCTGGTGAAACACCTCCTTGATGGAGCAAGCCCCAGCCATGGAACTGAGATGTCCCAAGCATTAGCACATTTCCAGGTGCCATTCAGATGTGTGTGCCAACCCCACACCTTCAGCAGATCAGCAGCAGTGCTCTAGACCCCTGTTTGCTGCAGAGCAGACCATCATAGCAAAGGAATCTTCCCTCCCTCTCCCAAGCACTCCAGGGGCCATGGCCAAGGCTGTCAGAGGGAGGAGGGACACAGGGGTTGGATGCAGCAGCTCATGGTGCCCCACTTCTGCCTTCTAGTTCCAGGGCCAGGCCAACCTGCACGTGTTTGAGGACTGGTGTGGCAGCTCCATCGAGCAGCTCAGGAGAAACCTCCACTTCCCTCTCTTCCCTCACGTGAGTAAGACCATCACATCCCCTGTCCTGCACTTCCCAGCTCAGCTTCCCAGGTGGGTCACCCTTATTCTCTTCACGTCCTTCCTCTACCTCCCTCTCTGTCCTGCTTTTTGTTGAAATCCACCACCTTCCTTGTGACATTCACATTCTCTGGAAAAATCCCTTCACCCAGGATTTTTCTCCTGGGAAGCTGAGAAGCCTCATAGAAAAGGTAAAACAATTCTTACCTCATTTGCTTCTCCTGTGTTGTGCTCACATGTGAAATGTGTTTGGAGATTGTTTACCCCCAGGTGATTGTTTCATTGGATTCTGGTGTGAGTTGTTTTCACTCTGGCCAGTCAGTGCCAAGCTGTGTTGGGACTCTGGAAAGAGTCGCAAGTTTTAATTATTATCTTTTTAGCATACAGTAAGTATCCTTTCTGTATTGTTTAGTATAATATAGTATTGTAAAATAATAAATTAACCTTCTGAGAACATGGAGTCAGACTCATCATTTCTCCCTGCCACGAGGGTTCCTTCTGATACAATACTCCCTCTCAACCACCTCCTCTGTCCTCCTGCTGAGGGAGCAGGAAGCTTTCAGAAGGGTTCAGGGGTAGCAGCTCTTCTGCTGCACAGGGGAGGTTCATTTCACACATGCTGGCCTGCCAGGGCTCAGACACAGGCTGAAGGAACCCTGTATTTGGTGCTCTCCTTCCAAGTGGCTAGGGAATGCCATATCCTGTCCCCATCCCCTCAAATGCATCCCCCATGCAGCTTCTCCCTTCTCAGCAGCACCTGCTCCATCTCATTTCTTACTTGGTTGACTCTTTCATTCTGCCTCCATCCTCCTCTTAGAGAAAACCCTCTTCCCACCTGCCCAGGGTTTTTAATTCTTCCCTTGTTCCTGTCACATCTAAAATTATTTTTATTAATTTTTTCTTCTTCCATTTCAGACAAGAACTATGCTGAAGAAGTTGGCCGTGTCCCCAAAATGGACCAACTATGGTCTCCGGATATTTGGCTACCTTCACCCTTTCACTGATGGTGAGGGTTCTGAGTGCCTTCACTCATGTCTCTTGTCACCTTCCCCTCCTTCCCTCCCCTCCTGGTGCTGAGCCACTGCTCCCCTCACCCTGGCAAGCCCAACACCAGGTCCCTTCCGTGGGTGGCGTGCGTGACTGGCCATGGCCTTGGCATGGCTGGAAACACATCTGCCTCCTCCCTGGTGAGGAAAAGCACAGGAGAAAGCAGATGGGAAATGCTAGATAAATAACAGTACTGTTGTGAATTCACAGCCCCGTGGTGGTTATGTGGCCACAAACAATCCCTGAGCTTTGCCTCCCTCCCTCTCATGGCCAGGACTGTCCATGACATCAGTGATGTCCCTTCTGCTCCCTGGGTGCATGAATGCCATCTGACAGCAGCTGACATCTGTGTCCCCCAGCTGCATGCTCTGCTGGCACTCACCCTCTGTCACGGGCCCTCCCTGCAGCTGCCATCCCCGTGACCCTGGACAGAGAGTGAACCTCAAGCACCTCTGCCTCCCTCTGTGGCTCTACTTGCACATTCCTCCACCCAAACACTGCATCTCACACAAAATTTTGCTCTGGAAGCAAAAGGGATGTCAGGGGAGGCTTTGCATAGACTTCTTAGCTTTCCAGGTTAGATGTCTGGTGTAGCCAGTGCAGGAGGGACACTTTACTGACATCTGCAAAGTTTTCAGTCACAGCAGAGTTAGCAGAGAGATTCAAAGGCAGGAAGGTGATAACATCAAAAGGGAAAGATGGTCTTACCAGGAGAAAGGGTAAAGACAGCATTTTAGGGGAGCAGGATCTGTTCTGTGCACGAGCCCTTCCCCCAAAGCCCTGCTTACCCCCTCTATCTCTCGGCAGGGGAGTTTCAGTTTGCCATTGCTGCAGATGACAACGCTGAGTTCTGGCTGAGTCCAGATGAAAAGCCCTCTGGTCTCCAGCTGCTGGCCAGCGTAGGCAAGGTACAGTGCATGTTGCATGGCTTGTCCCATCAAAGTTTTCATGTTTCTGTGGGAACAGAGACCTTCCTGACTTACTGCTTCCTTGGACTACCCAGGTTTCTTTCCCTGTCCAACCACAGACAACATCAGCACAGATGCCAGATGGGGTATGACATGTGATATCTTAAGCCACTTACCTCTTGGTAGTGCTATTGGGAGTCCCTTGTTCACAGTTAAGGGACTTAAATCTGTCCACAGATGACTTATCAGGAGGAATTAGAGGGAAGAGGGAGTTAAATTTTCCTTTTTTATCATTGTCAGTGCAGTAACAAGGGAAGAAACTCATCTTAACTAGAGCCATCTTCTGTCTCTTCACAGACGGGGAAGGAGTGGACCGCACCAGGAGAGTTTGGGAAATTTCACAGCCAGAAGTCAAACATGGTGAGGTGAGTGGGCAGAGTTCCTCAGTCCCAGCCACCTCTGCACATGACCAGGAAATCACAAGGATAAGGGAAAAGCACTCAGGCTTGCCCTGAAGAGTTTCGCAATACAGAGAAAGGGATTACTCTGGGGTATTGCCAGAGCTTTGCAATTTACTGCAGGAATGCAACACTGAATTTTTCTTCCCTGCAGCAGTCAACCACCAGCACATCCAGGCTCCCCTATATTAACTATGTCCTAAGCTTCCTGCCTTGGAACTGGCCAGGTTTCCTAGAGGCCAAAACCCAGCAGATGACACTGAGAGGGAGTTATTCAGAATTAAGTGAGAAGGGTCTGGAGTGCTCCAGGTGCATAAGTGAAGTTACCTATCTCACTGTCAGGATCTGGATTTTCTTGGCAGCACTAACCCCGCCTACCCTGAGAATTAGGTTGTTTCAGGGGTGTGGTTGCTCTCCACTCATTGTCTGCTGACAAGCTAAGAAATGTTCCTTAATGTTCCTGGTGACAGACACCTTGTTCTTGGCAGGTTGTCACGGGAGGGCAGGTACTACTTTGAGGTGCTGCACAAGCAGGATGACAGAGGAACGGACCATGTGGAAGTAGCAGTGAGTCTGTGGAAATGGTGGTCCCATATATGTGTCCCCACAGAGCTCAGGAATGATGTTTGTAACCATTTCCCTCCTTTCCCTGGCCTCAACTCCTCATTGCATGAGATGTAGCTAATCCTCTCCAGAGCCCTTACCTACTTCTGTGTGAGATAGTCCTGGCCATGTGTCAGGACCCCTTCCTCTGCTTACTTGGGATAGGTCTGCCTTCTCTGGGGTCTGTTGCAGCTTTTTGGCCTTTCCTGGCTTGGATGTGTCCTGGGGGATCTCTGCTCATTCCCAGTCTTTTGCTGCTGGGTAAATTCGGTCCTAGTAGAGGTAGTGTGTTCCTTTTGTTCAAGCTTGGTTAACTCCATGGGCACTTCATTTTAATGTGTTTCTCTGTTCCAGTGGAGACTGAATGATCCAGAAGCGAAGTTCAAAGTCATTGACTCCCAATATCTCTCCCTTTTTGCTAGTAAGTATCTTCATCACAAGTTTTCCCAAGCACCTCCCCATTCTTCCTAAATGTATCAGCATCCAGTGTTTCACCATGAATCATTGTCTAGCCAGGCAAATACCAGGCATACGCATCATTGGGAGAAAAAGGTGGAGACAGTTCAGGAGAAAGACTTCTGTACAAGAGTGTGACTCATTATTGAATGTAGGAGAATCAGAAGTAAGATTGGACCATTTTTTCAGCAAAGTCTAGAGGCAGTGAGGAAGGGCTGAGAGGAGAGTCTGCAAAGGTGAGAATTGTTCTAGACTGAGAGTATCACAGGATGGAGATTGCTTGCTGAGAGCCAGGGGGAGCATGAGTCCCAAAACATGAGATCTGTTGGGGTGTGCTGCCAGCTGGACACAACCAGGGAGAAGGGGCTGCTCTAGCACTTCAGCTTTCACTCTGGGTCCTGAACACAACAGGATTCACTGGAGATGAGGGGGCATGCTGCTTTCTTCTGTCCCAGCCTCAAGTCTCTTTGAGTTGGTGTTGGATTGCTTCAAACACATCAGTCCAGTCCCTCCTGTTTTGTAAACCCTTCTTAGCACATCAAGTGATGGTGTTATCAGTTAAGAAGTTCCTTAGTCTTGTTTACCCTTACCCAGCTTTGTCAGCATCGCTTTCTTGTGCCAGCATTCCCCCTTTCCATATCTGTTGCTGTTGCCTTCCAACATTTCTTGGCTTTTTTTCATACCAGCCCTTTTGTGCCTAGAAGACTCCCTGATGTAGTCAAGGCATCTGTTTGCTGTGTCTTGGATCACAACCTGCTGCTGTATTTTCTGAAACCTCCCATGTGGCTAGGACTAGGCTTTCCATTTGGTCTTCCATCTTCATCCTTTTTCCTTCTGCTCTTTTCTTTTGCCTGTAGAATAGAAGACTGACATTCCAGAAGATCCCCTCATGATTAGGTGCAGTGCTGCAGTCTCATTTTTATCTGTTGCCTTCTGCCCATAGTTTTTTCTCTTGTTCATATTAGCCTTTGGCTGTATTACATGACATCCCATTCTTTCTGAGGTCCCATGTAGTTCAGTACCCCAAAGTTGCACACCAGTGCCCTTGGCAGGATATTGCTTTTCCTTCATGGATATTTATTCAGTTCCCCTCATTTTAGAGTAAGATTCATGGAGACGTGAAGTCCTGTGAACAGCAACACCCAAGGAAAAATATAACCAGTACCCAGTCTTGAGTTTGACCTTCCTGTTGTTCTTGGCTTGCTGTGGGGCTTCATTCCCTTTCTGGAGTAACATCCTCCTCAGCCACTGAAGGTCCTTCCTTTGCTCCTCAGGTTTCTCCTCCCATTCATCTCTCTTCATCTCCTTTGAAAAGGAACTTAATACTAATAATACAGAGGTGTCCAGTAGGTCCTGCCAGCATGGAGCCTGTTCAGCACACCAGTGGTGGTGTATCCAAGGCAGGAGGTTATTTTCATCCACTTCTCATCACTGTGTGTGTTTGCTTTCAGTGAAAGCCATGTTCCCACCCCACAGCTTCTCTGTCTCTAGATTTCTGGGTCAGAGCCTTTCCTTTGCCTGTGCCAGAGACAGCATTAGTGCCACGGATGCAATGCCATTTGGAAAGGGCTGACACTGGAGAGAGGTGTTTTTTTGGACAAGGAACAATTAGCCCCTGTCTCCCCCTTGTGTTCTCTCTCTGGTCTCTAGACGAGACACTTCTGAAGATGGATGAGGTTGGGCACATCCCGCAGACACTGGCCACTCGCAGGAGCTGGGCTGCTGACAGCCCTGGCAGCGCAGTGCACCCAGCTGACATGTTGAAGCCTGACCCCCGGGACACTCTTTATGAAGGTGAGACTTGGAAAGCAGCTGAGGAAGTAACTGCAGCCCGTGCAGGGGCACAGCTGGCAAGGATTGTCCTCCTACACTGCAGTTATCCAGGCCATGCTTTTTTATTCCTGGTGCAAAAGAGAGGGGCAGCTACAGTATCAATAGGAGACAAAGCATGGAGCAAAGCCAGCTCCTCTTTCTGGGCATCCAGCTCAAACAACATCCCCAAGCATATTTTTGTGTGAGCGTCTTAAAGGAATGTAAAGAGCTGAGCTGTGCAAGAAAGTTTGTTTAATCTATTCCTTATTATTCCACATGGATAAATAGAACCCAGGCACAGAAGTAGCTAAGCTGGTGTGTGGCTGCAGCAGGGCTCCTCCTGCAGCCCTTGCCTGTGTGTTCCTTCTGTGCAGTGCCTCTGCTCAGCAAGTCTCGTGTGCGCCGGGCCCTGCCGGACTGCCCCTACAAGCCCAGCTACCTGGTCAATGGATTTCCTCTGCAGCGCTACCAGGGGCTCCAGTTCGTAAGTTGGATTGCTTGACCTGCTGCTTGCCCAGGGATACACAAGGAGCAAGAAGAGATCCCTAAACTTGCCTCTGCAGGGAGTCTCACAATGGCTGAGGATTTCCTTCTCCATGGCGGGGACTGTAGTATGTGTGGATTAATAAAGCCACGGACATCTCTTCAGGAGGACTTGGCCACCTCTCTCCAACTTATTTCTCACACTGTTGTAAGACTTAAGCTCACAGTTAGAGAGGTGGACCAGTGCTGAGGGGGAGGGTAAAAGGCACGTGCATACATACATGTGTCCTAGCATGCTTCCTTCTGTCTTCCATTCTCACAGCCTGCTCCTGGAGAGGGAAAGTGTGAGCAACTCCTGCTCCCTCTAAAAAGGGCTGGTTATCCTGCAGCTATGTCTGGGTCACCTTGTGACTGATGTCTGGCATTTATGAGGGTTTCACTTCATCTTTCCCTCTTCTTCACAGGTTCATTTATCCTTTGTTTATCCAAATGATTACAGCCGCCTGAGCCACATGGAGAAAGACAACAAATGCTTTTACCAGGAAAACCCTTATTATTTGGAAAGGTAGCATGCTGTAAATTTGGGGTTACTGGCAGAGTGGGGAGAAGCTTGAAGGCTGGAATTGGTGTGGAATTTCATGCTTACTTCTGTAGGACTTTTTTTTAATTCTTAAAGATCCCTGAAGTCTTGCAAAACATTAAAGCATTTATAGTTTCTTTTGATAACTTAAGTGAAAATATGTTTGGGTCTCACGGGGAAACTACCAGCGCTTTTCTTGCACTGTTAGCCCAGTAGCTGAGTCAGAGCATGTTTGTTCTCTTACATCAGGGAGTATATTCCCAGCAAGCTTGGCCTGCAAGTGGCTGGAGCCTCCTGATAGCTGTCACTGTGAAAGCCAAAACTATGCTCACCACGAGGCCTCTGTCTGGGGGAAGAAATGCATGTAACTCATCTTCACTGGTGCCCAGATCCCAGTGGTGGCCCCACAAGGGAGCTGCTATTTGCATGCTCCCTACTGCAACAGACACCTTGTGCAAGGACTCCCAGCCATTCAGGAGGACTTTTTGCAGGATAAAAAGGGTCACTTTCCCAGTAAAGTAGCTGATTATGGCCTCACTCTGCTCAGGACCTTCTTCCTTCTTCCAGGAAAGGGCAATGTAACATTCATCAAACTTGTGTTTTGCTCTTCTCTCTGCAGATTTGGATTTTACAAGTACATGAAAATGGATCGGCCAGAGAAGAGCCTGGACTCTGGAGAAAAGACAGAGCAACCAGGTAGGGGCCCTTATGTCAGAACCCAGAGGATCCTTTTATCTGTCACTTCTGTGTGTGGTCCTGCAGCACCAGCTGAAGGAAGCTGTTGACTTTCCATACCAAGGAAATCTCAGCCTTTCCCTGCCAGATTGCTGTGTCTGGGAGGAGACTTTTACTGCCACTTTTACTTTCCTTAAGGGCAGGTTGGGAGCTCACCAAACAGTGGGCTGCAGTAGACAACATGACAACTCTCAGGCCCACAGCTTAGCTGAGGTGCAATTCTAGCAAAAACATGGGCAGGAGTAACGCAGCCAGAGGTGTGCAGCGTGGCAGCCCATGGTCACACCTGCCCTGCAGAGCTGTGGCCAGACCCACAGCTAAGGGCAAAGCCAGACAGCTCCACAGCCTTTGGCAGTGGTGGTGATGGGTGCTGAGGAGGCTGGTGGCAGCAAGAGCATGGCTCCTACCTAGGAGAGCATCCCTGTCCCTCTGAGCAGGAGAGACAACACTGAGAGGAGGCAAGAAGTAGCTGCTCCCCTGCCTGGTGGGTGCCTGGGCAGGGAAGGCACAGTGGGAGAATGCCAGAGATGTAATTTGGATTCATCCTGCAGGCTCCCAGGAGGGGAACCTGGATGACCTGCAGTACGAGGAGCAGGATGTGGAGAGCACCAGTGCCCCTGAACTCGCTGGCACAGGGAGGGCAGGGCCAGCAGGCAAGGCTCCCAGCAGCGTGTTGGACACTGACAATATCCACGAGGACTATTCCCTCCGGGAGCGCCGCCGCCTCCTCTCCGTCATGGGTGATGATGCGGGAGAGGAGGTATGGAGGAGGAGGACAAAAAGGTCTGGTATCAAATCAGCCATGCTGGCCTCTACCAACCAAAACCTCAGCCTGACTGGCCTAGAGGGAAATCCAGTAACGAAGAGACCCCGTTTAAAAGCTGGCGTCAAAGACAATTCCAGGAGTCCTCCGCAGCATGCCAGGGCCATCCAGGGAAGAGTGCCTCTCAGAAGGACAATCCCTCCTTCTAGGACTGTGTCTGAAAGGCAGCAATCTCTTGGCCACCCCAGGGACTCGGGGGTCACAGTTCCCAACAGGCTAGGACCTCGAGGAGACCTCAGCACCACAAAGGACAGGCTGCAGCCAGCAGGCACCGTGCCAGCCAGGAAAGGAGGCCCAGTCTTTGGCAAAGCCAGGAGGCAGGCAGTGAGTGCTGCCAGCCCCAGCCAGCAGCCCGGGCTGCCACAGTGGCTGAGCCAGGTGCAGTCCTACGTTGCTGAGCAGAAGGTGGCCAACAATGGGGATGTGGGTGAAGGAGAGGCACAGGTGGCATCTCCTTTGAAGGGCAAGTCTGGGGGAGTAGCAGAGGAGGAAGAGGTGGATGGGGAGCCAGAGGAGGAAGATGAGGAGGATTTTGATTACGTACCAGTGTTTGACCAGGCAGTCAACTGGGAGCAGACCTTCAGCATGAGCAACCTGGACTTCCATATGCTGCGCACAGACTGGATTGACCTGAAGTGCAACACCTCGGGAAATTTGCTGCTAAGAGAAAGGGAGGCCCTGGAAGTTACACGTGTCTTCCTGAGGAAACTCAACCAGAGGAGTAAAGGGTAAGGTGCAGTGAGAAAACCAAGGGGCACTGTTCCAGAGTTGGTTTACCATGCTGTATGGGGAATACCTGTTATGTGAGTAACTGGTGAGAATCAGAGGATGAACTAGATGTGGTGAATAAGATTTCAGGCAAGGAATCTGTGTAAAACACTGGACTTTAGGCACACTTCTTTTTCCTGAGAAATGGTACCAGCTTTTGCTGGTACTCTTTTGTTACATAGTCTTGGTATGGTTCTTTTTCTTCTCAAGACTTACTATCCCTTCTGGCAAACAGACACACTTCCTCTAGCCTCTATAAGCTAAACAATCTAACTCCTGACCCTTTTGTTGGGTTGGCCTTAATTTTTATAATTTTTTTACTAGTCTTTTCTGGTTTCAGTTGGTGTTAATCTTCCTATACATAAGTGACCAATATCCTGGATGTTTTATGGAATGAATGTTAGTAGCTTCTAATCCCTGCTGGAAATAGGCCTAATGCTACATATTAAGATAACATTTGCTTTTTCAGGGTCACACCAGTCACAGCCAGGTGTAACTGACCAATACAAGATTTTCTGTGTTTTTTAACTCACAAGTGCCTGTTTTATAGCAGAAACTCTTGTTATCATCTGAAAGGGCATGACCTGGCATTTTATCCAGTTTTGACCATTCTGAATCTACAGTTCCTGGCAGTTTTTACTGTAGGATTGCTCAGTCCTATTCCATATTCTTGTTTGATAAGCTATCATGAGCCAGTTTCAGCAGCCCAAACATGCTCCTTGCGCCAAAATCATTGTAGGTGGTGTTGAATACACTCACTATTACCAGCCCTACACAATCATTCAGACCCATTTGTTATTTTCTGTGTCACCTTTATTTCATTTCTCTTGCCAAATATTTTCCCTTGGCTGGAATCCCAGGTCTAATCCCACATTGCTTGTGGATTTAGGAGAAACAGGTGCTAAACATTCCCATGGAACTTTGGAAGCGGTGCAGGGCGGGGGAGCTGGGGACAGAAAGGTTTATGCTGGCCCGAAGGAAGGAGCCCAGCAGGGCTGGGGGAGGGATAGGGGCTGGATGTGCCCACTGCAGCTGCGTGTCCCGCAGGCGCTTCCAGCTGCAGCGCATCGTGAACGTGGAGAAGCGGCAGGACCGCATGCGGGGCAGCCGCTACCTGCTGGAGCTGGAGCTGCTGGAGCAGGGCCAGCGGCGCGTCCGCCTCTCCGAGTACGTCTTCGCGCGGGGCTGGCAGGGCAGCGGCAGCCACGAGGAGGACGAGAGGAGGATGAGGAACCTGGTGTGGGGCCGCCGGCGGCGCCTGATGGCCGCGGCCAGCGAGCCAGAGCTGTGCTGGCCCCAGGGGTTTTCCTGGAACCACCAGGCCGTGGTGCACTTCGTGGTGCCAGGTAAGGGGATCTGCCTCTCCAGGACATCGAGGGGTGGCACGGTGGGCGGTTCTCATGAGGGCAGTGGGTGTGAGCCAGTCTCAGCCATCTTACTTGGGTTACTTTCCATTTCTGTTGTCTCCCAAGTTAAATACCCTCAAAAATATGGAAAACAGCCATACAGCCATGCCTTGTCATCTCAGAGAAAGCCACTGTCACATGGTGGGGAAGAACCCACACTGATTCCTTGGCTCTGTGGACCAATTTTCAGCCTAGGCCTATTACATCATCCCTGAAAGGTTGTTGAGGTTTAACAGATGGCAAGAAGCCTTGCATGTTGAGGAAAGACACCGCCATTTAAATCACTTTGCTTTGATTCTCTCCCTGTTGCAATACAACCAGTGAAGAACCAGGCACGTTGGGTACTGCAGTTCATCTCTGACATGGAAGAGCTGTTCCGAGTCACCAAGGATCCCCACTTCAGTGTCATCATCACAGACTACAGCAGCGATGACATGGATGTGGAGAAGGCTCTGAAAAGATCTACCTTGCACAGGTGGGAGTACTGCTTGGTGACAAAAAGCCACTCACACACATAAGCCTGCAAATAGCACATTTGGCAGTCTCTGTGTGTTCACCAGCCACAGCCTGCTGCAGCTGGAACACCACAGACACCATCCATCCAGACCTTGCACTTACACAGCATGTTTTTGATGTGCATACATATCTATGCATGGAACACTGTTAGAAAAGTGTAAGGCAATACCTAGTGTAGTCTTCCAGCTAAATTAATTGAGTTTGTCTCTTTTTTCAAGACTGCAAGAGAGAAAAGAAAGCAAATCTCCCAGTGATGGGGCAGGGGGAGGACAGAAAAGATAAGAAAGCTCTGAGAAGTGGGACAGATAACATGGAGACTTCTGTTTGCTGGAATGACCCTGCTCTGATCTGAATCAGCTTTGGCTGGTCATTTCCATTGCATGCCAGGGGTTTCCAGGTCTAGTCCTAGGACAGAGCTGGGCTAGAGCTGAGAAGAGTTTTGCTAGGCTCTGTTCAGGGCCAAGACTCTCTGAGCAGACTGGGACAGGGAGCAGTGCTGGGCTTGTGCAGTCCCCCAGCAAAGGTTTCCTCTGCTTCAGAGGTACACGAAGCAAGGGCAGCTCCATGGCCCAGTGCTGTGTGGCACTGCCTGCTGTGCCTCCAGTGTCACTGAAATTCCCTTTCCCCTCTGACCCCCAGCTATCAGTACCTGAAGCTGACAGGGAATTTTGAGCGTTCTGCTGGGCTGCAGGCGGGGATAGACCTCATAACGGTGAGTCTGGGGGGCCTTGGGTGGGCAGGGGGGTTTGTAGTATGTGTCTGGTGTTGCCACTGCCTTTGGTACTGAACACGCTGGTTTTTAGGGAAGGGAATGGCCTAGCTGACCAGTTAAAATGTACATGTGTTTCCTGTCCTTCCAGAGTAAGGGTTCTCTTTATTCTGAGGAGTCTGTGCTCTGTTTGATTCTTGGTCCATGTGCTGGGAGTGTCAGACAGGAGGGAAGTCAGCAGTAGCAGCTTTGTGATCCTGGCTCTGCCAGGTCACAGTCATGCTATTTCACACTCAACACTGATCAGCCAGTGGACATTTATCCAGCCCATGGGATCTCAGTTTCTGATGCAGTAATGAGATTTTGACTCCCATATTTCTGTCTTCCTGCCCCTCAAGAAATATTTACTGAAAGTCAACCTATTTTTTTTCCCAACCACTACCACTGTCCAGGACCCGCACAGCATTGTCTTCCTGTGTGACCTGCACATCCACTTCCCAGCTGGAGTCATTGATTCAATCAGGAAGCACTGCGTGGAAGGCAAGATGGCCTTTGCACCCATGGTCATGAGGCTGCACTGTGGGATGTCCCCACAGTGGCCCGATGGTAAGAGGGCTCAGACTCTGGGAAATGGGGGAAGAAGGAAGTGTCTGCCTTATCTGCATTTGTTCCTCTGGTACTGTCAGGGTCTGGAGCTTGAGATGCTTCCAGGTCCACAGGGTGTGTGTGTTAGACATAGGATGGGGTTTAACAGCATCCACTGCGGGATGTCCCCACAGTGGCCTGATGGTAAGAGGGCTCAGACTTTGGGAAATGGGGGAAGAAGGAAGTGTCTGCCTCCTCTACATTTGTTCCCCTGGCACTGTCAGGGTCTGGAGCTTGAGATACTTCCAAGTCCACAGGGTGAGTGTATGTATTAGACACAGAATGGGGTTTAACAGCATTAGGTACCTGGAATTTGAGATCAAAAAGCTAGCAGATCCCTTTTTCTGATGTTTCTCCTGGTTGTTCCTAGGGCTCTTTATGGATTTGAGGACCTTGGGAAAAGTGTCATTTATTCCTGTTTGTCCATATCTCTCTTTTGTGAATGTTTCTTCTGGTTGTCTCCTAGGGCTCTTTATGGATTTGAGGACCTTGGAAAAAGTGTAATTTATTCCTGTTTGTCCATATCTTTCTTTTGTAAGGGGGCACAGCCTGTCCTGAGGAGAGCTGGTAGAGCAGGGATGAGGGAAACCAAGCCAAGTTGGAGGGAGAAAAGTGGTACAGCATAGGATTTCCTTTAGACAGAGATGGCCATCCTGAGCCATCTAGGCACAGGGACAACCCTGGGAAGCTGGGACAGTCCAGGAATTGTGTTGCCAGACAGGAGATGTGAGAGGCTCTGCTAACATGTTGATGGGACAGACCATGTTGTCTGTCCACAAGCCTTTCTCACTCCCAAAGCTGGTTGGCATGGTTGGCTCTGCCTTGGTGCTGAGTTTACTCCCTGGTGTCAACATTGTGCTAAAAGTAGCTTAAGTCTCAATCCAGCCACTCTGCTGGAACCATCAATGTTTCAAAACCTCAACAAAGCTGTGCCTCTTTTGTGCTCTCCTCAGGCTACTGGGAGGTGAATGGGTTTGGTCTCCTGGGCATATACAAGTCTGACCTGGACAAAATTGGAGGCATGAACACAAAAGAGTTTCGGGACCGCTGGGGAGGAGAGGACTGGGAGCTCCTTGACAGGTAGGCATCCAGTGTCATTGTTCAAGGGCTCAGGAGAGGAAGGCCATCAGATCCTGGAGAGCCAATGACCATGGGAGTGGGGTTCTAAGGGGGTTGAGATGACTACTGCCACCATAACCTTGGCCAGTGAGGGAGAGTCTTTGAGCATATCCTGACCTCAAACCTAGCAGGTGAGGAGATACAAAACACTCTATTGCAGTCACTAGTAAGAGAAGAGCTGTTTTCTGCTGCCTTCTAGCCACACTGCTGGTTGGTCTCCTGCAGATTAGGCCCTGGTGATTGTGAAGACTTTGTCCTTTTCAGGCACCCAGAGCACAGTGTGAGCCCTCACATTTTCCATATAACATTTAGCCTTGAAGACTAGCTGGTGGAGAGGCATTTAAAGGTCATGAGGTACATTTAAAATTTCTGAGGATTTTGTGATGAGGGGTGCACAAATCCTGAGCCTCTGGCTTTGTAGTTGTAGGGTTTGGGCCCTGTCCTGTCTTTTCTGTCAGCTGACTGCAATCCAGTGCTGCCAATCATCTTTCCTCCTATCTTGGCATATGCAGGCACTCTTGACTAGTCCTGTGCTCAAGGGTGCATAAACACTCAGAAAGTGTCATTAGACTCCTGCTTATGGATACGGGATACCCCTGAGCTATTCTGGGCTATCCAATTTGCTTGCAGTCCCTTGTCAACAGCACAACTTAAGAGTTTTCCTGGAGCTGAGTCCCTCAGTGTCTTTGTGATGAAATTTTCCCTGAGTCTTCTCTTCTGTCTGCCAGGATCTTACAGGCTGGGCTGGAAGTGGAGCGTCTCTCCCTGAGGAACTTCTTCCACTGGTTTCACTCAAAGCGGGGCATGTGGAACCGGCGCCAGCTGAAGACAGCGTAGCCTTCAACCCCAGAGCTGTTTGGCAGCGCTGTCCACCATCTCATCCAGATGTGCACTTTACTGGGGCATGCAGCCAAGTGCCCAAACTCTTCCAATGCCTCCAGAGACCTGTGGTGGCGTGGCACAGCTGAGGAAGGGGTGATCAGGCTAGTGGAGAGGGAGCTTCTCTTGTCAGCCGCTGCATGTGAGACACGGGATCCGCGTGTGGCTGGGAAGGCATGCAGCAGAGGTGTCAAGGGAAGCACTTGTATTTCCTGCCATGCAGTCTGGTGGAAGGTACAGTGGGAGAGGTGCCCTGTTTCCTGTTGAGTCTTGCACCAAACAGACACAAATCCCAGCTAAGCCTAGAATGGTTTGTTTAGAGCAGTGCGGCTTCTCTTTCAAAACTTGAATGGAAAAAAAAATAGCAAAGAACTCACAACCGTCCCTATTTCCTCTCCTTTGCCATCTCTCCAGGACCCATTATTTTGGACAGGAGACCAAAGTTCTCTGATCTGTATTGCACCCACATGCCCATGTGCTGACTTAAGGAAATCTGGATGCAGAGGAGCTCCTAAGCACTTTAGGCTGCTGGTGCTTAGATGTTTCTCTGTGCTTTTCAGTTTGGTCATTATGAAAAATTGTGTTGAGCAAATTATGGGCTGTGGATGGAGTTGCAAATACATTTCCCTTACAGGAGCCACGTTTGCCTGTAGCTGGGTGAGCTGGCAAGGGTGATGTGACAATTCCACCTGAATTATTGACACACTGCCTGAGGGTAGTGGAGGGTCTATACAGAGAAGCTAACAGAGCATCTCAGGAGGAACTTTGCAGCCTTATCTGACAGACATGTGTTTGTCCTAGCAATATCAGGGAAACCCTAACAGGGAAGAAGTGGCAATATTTTATTAGTTGAAGTATTGTGATTTGTCAGAAGAGGAGACAGTCTTCTGCTCTCAAAATCCTGTACATTTATGCAGCATCTAAAAGTTAATTTAATAAGTTATGGCCTCACAGTTTTGTCTTGTCATAGTTTGACTCTTAAGTATAGAGCAGGCTTCTTGGTTGGAGAACCAACACAGCCGTTGGTGCTTCATCTCTGGAACAGCCTGGCAGCTCTGGCCTGGTACAGAGGAGGTGGCCTCAGGTCTTGGCACATGAACTGGGTGTAGCAAACAGTGAGGACAGAAGAGCATTGAGTGAATAAAAGGATGGGCAAACCCATGCTGTCATTGATGGAAGAACAGCTGGCCTGGTGCTACAGGGAAGTCTCATCCCCTAAAACTCTTGTTAATGTAAGGCAAGATTTTTTTACCCTGTAACCATTTTAGAAGGCTATTTAAACCCAGAAATCTCAGCTCACTCAGGGCTGTACAGCTTCAGTGTCTCCAAATATGCTGAAAAGTGCTCAAGCTTGAGGGGAGAGTGTGACATAGGATGCTGCTCATGGTGCCCAGTTCTGTGGGGAGTTCTGGGAAGGAGTAATGGATGTATGCAGAATACAAGCAAAGCTGACTGGTACTAGACTTTTCTGCTCTTTGCTGATGGAGTAGATGCCAATTCAGAATTGGCATTAATTTATTACTGTGTCTGTGGTTCTTGATGAGTCCATCAAGTTCCGCCATTGCAGTAGAAAATTGAACATGCAAGTTCTGGCACGTGAGATAGAAATCATGTCAAATCATCTGTTTGCATCAGTCTGACTTTTGTGAGTGATGGATTTAGAAAAAGTCAACCAGATACCAGAAAGTTCTGCTGTGCAGTGTGGAGCTGTGGTGAGAAGTAGACAGGAGATGGCTGTGTCTGTGAATCCATGGAGACACTGAATATCCCAGAAGAGGCAGCCTTAGCCAGCTGCCCAAGCCAGAGCAGTCTTCCTATTGAGAGAAAATATCCATGCAGATACTAAGAAATTAAATCATGGCAGTTGAGGTGATAGGGAAAAGGCTGACAGCAGTCAATACTTTTTTTCTATTTTTTTTAAGTATTATAGGAGTTTGGGAGACCAGAGCCCTGTGATGCAATGTTGCAATAAGCTCTGCTTCTCCCTGGAATGTGCAGTGTCAGTCATGCTCTCAGTGCAAGCCAGAGCCTGTGCTTCCCTCAGACACAGGCACAGCTCCACGAGTGTGTAGGTGAGCTGCTTTCCAGGCTCCAGGACTGTGCCTGCACAGCCTGTCCAGGCTGGCTGTGTCACGCAATGCCTGTGGAATGGGGAGAGGCTGTCGGGAGGGCGAGTGCCCGGACGCGGCCGGGCGTCAGCAGCAGCAGCTGTCTGGGCCCATCACACTGGGAACACCACAGTGGTATGCACATGGAGATCTGCTGGATTCGGAGGCAGCCTGGAAGTCAGGCACGGGAAGGAGGAGTTATTTGTACCTTGTGCTTTCACATCTGGCTGTGGATGTGGTCTGCAGCACCTAAAGTTAGCAGCTGGCATCCATCTGCGGACACTGGCAAGAATTAGAGGTAACTCACTTGGCAAAAATGCCATGAGTCTTCCCCACCACAGAGGACAGCCAGGAAGAGTGGGCTTGACAGTAGGGTGCACCACTCAGTGCAGCACTGCCAGGAGAATTTGAGGATTTTGCCCCCATTTTTCATCTGTGACTGTACTCCTTCCTTCACACCTTGTAACCCAGGCCAGTGGTAAGGAGAATTTGAGGATTTTGCCCCCATTTTTCAGCTGTGACTCCAATTCCTTCACACTTTGTAACCCAGGCCAGTGGTGAGCAGAACTACCTCGTGAGGACTCCTTGATGGAGATGTAAGGAGTTCCTGGTTTTCAGTGCAGTTTCCTAATGGCCAGTTTCCCCACTGTCAAAGCTACCATCTCAAATGTTCTTCCCTTCCAGTGGGAATACTCAGTTGGTATCCAAGCAAGTAGTAAATGTGATTAATACTAATTGGCACTAGCAGGCAGCCTCTATGGAGGAGCTTGGAGAGCCCATGGGAATAAAAACTGTCTTCCAGCCCACATGCTCAGAGACCTCACTGCAGGGTGTAGGGAGAGAAGGGGCTCCACACTCCCCAGTTTACTGGCCAGCAGCAAACCTTGCAGGAGCAGTGCTGGGCTTCACTCTGATGCTGCTGCCCCTCTTCCAAAGCAAGCTGCAGTTTTTCTCCCCAGACAGAGTCACAAATAGGGGGAGAGCAGGAAGCACAGCAGGAGCAGGTCCCTCAGCTATGCAGTGAAAGGACATGGCCAGGAAGCTGACTCCCCTCAACAGTTGGTCACATTTCTGTCACCAGGATCTTTTTAGGAAGCTGTGCTGGAGTTTCTGGCCTTCATGTGCATCCTGGCTGTGTCCTGCTTGGCCAGCTGGAGGAAGTCAGTTGCAGAGGATTTTCCTTGCACCAGGCCAGGAGCAAGCTGCTCCGGAAGCTCTGTGGCTGGGATATGATGGACAATGCAAAAGAGACCTTCTCTGGGGTAGGGGAGTCTGGGCCACCAAATGTGAGGTGCAGAGTAAGGGGGCTCTGCCTACAAATGTGACTCTGTATTCAGGACTGGTGCTCAGGCTTGCTTTGCAGGTCATCAAGGGAATGAAGAAGGGCTGGCTTTTAATCTGAGCAAAGTGTATTGTGTGAAAATTATTATTTGTTTCATCATTGTCTTAATGTTTGCCCGGCTTGAACATCTTTCCTCATTGCCTACAAATGTCTGAAGTTGATTGTTTTTTAGATACAGATGCCTTGTGTTGAAAATCTGACTTGTACCTGCCTTAAAGTGGCTCTGTGCCTTCAAGACGACTCCTGGGCCACCTTTCTGTTGGAGCTGGGGGATATACAAATTCTCCCTTGTGTTTTATAAATACATTGTCTTCCTACAAGAGCTCTCTTCTGTCTGTGTGTTCACTTGCACCTGCGTCACTGTGCAGCAGGAATAGAATCCAGGTGTGCTCCTCTTGTCTTCATTAGCTGAAAGCACAGGCAGTACCAGAGAGATCACTCAGCCCAAGCCAGCAAGAGCTCTGCAGCAAGGGGTGAGTGGGAGATGCAGTGGGCAAGGTTAGCCCTGCTTCAGTCCCCTCCAGATCTGTGGAAAATGGGATGGCAACAAAACAATTCTCCTCCTGTCTATATGGGTTTATCATATGAAACAAGGTGGAAACAGTGGACAAATACACATTACAGCAAAGCTTGCATGATGTGATGAGAGAATGTGGAAAACACCACTGTGTTTTGCTCTCCTGGCAAGCAGAGGACAGTTCCTGGAGAAGACCACAGGTGGGAGCCTAGACCTTTGCAAATGGGAGGTCAGCTCTTTCACAGCAACTGCTTATTTGAATTCAGTTTTGGCCTGTCTTCATTTCAACTGTGCCTTCTTAGAGTATAAAAAGCTTGGCAGCTATGGGAGTCACACAGAAAGAGTGGAAGAGGCAGCCAAGTTTGCTAATGAGTATGATTTCACTATAACAAGAAATTATTAATATGAAAGGAGATGGAGAGAAAGTATTCCAGTGTGCTGCCAGCCTTTGCTAGCCTGGGATGAGTGGCAGGGAGCCCCCTCTGCTCATGCAGGCCTCATGTGCTGCCATACCCGATCCAGTAGCTCTCTGAAACAATGATAAAATTAAGATCTGGCAATGAAATTGCCCTCACTGCTTCTTTCCCAGCTGAACCTTTTCTATTTTTCCCTCTCTTTACATTCAGTCATCAATGCTAATTGCTTTGCCTCCTGCTCCATGAAGCAGTGAGTGTTGGGGTTTGGGGTCTTCATGCAGGATATGTAATTTTTTACTTTTCCACAAACCCAGCCAGTAGTGGCTGACAGTCCTTGGCTTGTGGTTTTGCTGTGCCTACAACTCATTCTGCCTCTGGAATGAAGCATTTTTCTAAAGGAGGCAGGATAACAGGCTTCCCAGAAACATCCACCCCTCCCTGCTGCCAGTCAAAGCAAAGACTGAGGACCAAGTTGAGCAGCAAACTCAGAGTCACCCAGACCTGTCATCCCCAAGAAGAAGCGGAGGACAAGTCTCTGCCTGCTTCACCTAACAGATCTCAGACTGTGCTCAGCTTTACCACTTCAGGTTCTGGTAAATACATAACTAGTATTTTCCACCCTACCCTTATTATGGAATTTTCCTTCAGCTCAAAAAAGTCACTGTGAGTTTCGGGTGCTGGGCTGCTGCTGGCCGGTGGCCTTACACACCAGTTGGTGGGCAAGATCATTCACACCCTCTCAAAAAAAGCACCACGTGTGACTGACACAAATTTGGTTTGTAAAGACAAATACAAATGAAATCTGTATCTCAGAGTCAGACACTCCCAGTAGCTCCTGAAGACTGATGTGAGGATGCTTTTGTGGCATTTCTGTCTCAGGGGTGGCAAGGATATTCAAAATGAGAAGTGCATATTAAACTCTGATTCTGCAGTAGAATGGAAAAATCATTTAATCAAAAGAACATGTAATTATTCAAATAGGCTTACATAAGGCTATTAAAATACCATTTTTCAGCATGACCATTGAGTTAAAAAATTTAGGATTGAAAATTTTTACTCTTTCGTAAAAATCTTGAAACTCATTAATTCAAAGGATTTTTTTCTTACAGAAACAAATGGTTCTAATACAAGAGAATTACCAGAGCTGTCATTATAAACCAAATACATTTAGAAACATTTATATTAGTGATAAGAATAAATCATAATAGTGATTTTTAAAATAAAATAATAAGCTATTCAACTGTAATTTTTCATTGCAGCAATAAGTCTAGGCTGTGTCCTTATGTATAATGTTTCTTCATTTTCTATTAAATATTGTCAGGCTATTCTGACATAATTCCTGATTGGTCACTGATGATAACATCAGACCACAATAAGTATTTTCTGTCCTTGTTAATATTCCAGGGCTGGAAATATCTGATTGTTTTCTTAACTATGTTACATTTAATTTTAAACAACTAGGAAAACATCTGAACTGGTTCTGGCTATCTTCATGTACACACACCATTCTATCCTCCTAGGAAAACTTATTTTTTAGTTTGAGAAATCCATTCCAACATGTGGGAGGTAAACTATTACATAGAATTGCTTTAAGGACATCAACTTATGTTTGAGACAAAAAAAGCTGGACTTATTTATTTAGCCTACAAAGTAATTCATTCAGTCTTCTCTATCAAATGAGCTAATATATGTGAAGCAGGCAGCTAAAATAAGAAAAGAGATTTACAGAACTGTACTTTCAAAATGTATACCTGCTGCTGTTCCTGCACTTTTCTCTTGCAAAGTTTGTTCTAGGTTGGAAAGACAATATTCCTGCCCCTCAGAACTGCAAAAGCATTACAGCAAGGGGCCAGTATGCTATGATGCACACAGAGTTTTGAAGTTTAACCCAGTTTTATGAATTCGTCCATGGGCTCCTGCTGAGGTCAGTGGAAACGTGGAGGAGAGCTGCTCTGCTCAGGTCCTGCAGGGAAGAGAAGAAACACTGGTAAGGTCACCTCAGGCTCCTCTGTGTGCATGGCCAGAGAGGAGCAGGCACAGCCACTGCCGGACACCACAACTGCCCCTACACATATGGGGTGCTGCTCTTCAGCACTCACCCCTCTCTGCATCCCAAACCAGCAATCCCAATCCCAGAAATCTTTCTGTAGAGGCTTTTGGCCTTTGCATCAGTCCTCACCATAGCATGTGTCTGTTGAGCTTTCTTGTTGGCTGTTGCCCTGGTGTGTGGCATTTAAACTGTGTTTACATTTTGCAGGTCGTGTAAACAAGAAATGTTAATTTTGCTTCTTGAGCTAAAGTGCTTTTGGTTTAAGAACATGTCATTCCCTCACTGACGTGACATGGAAACCCAGCCATTTGGATGAATTGTTATTTACAGGGCTTCCTTGAAAACGAGCATTAGGTG